ATAACAGCATCATTTATTCATAAGGGGATATTTATGCCTTCAGTGTAAATACTATTTTGAAATTGTTTTTTATGAAGAACCATTAGAAGCGCTTATAATATTTTTCATGTTTTGCTCCTGTTTTTGTAAGGCCCATGGCAACAAGAGGGGGTAGGTGAGCTCAAAGATTGTGATGTGAAACTATTTTAAAGGAGAGGAGTGAACCACCGTTCACTCAAAATGGTCAAATTGCTCATGTAGCTACTGATGCCAGGCATAGAAAACAGAGGATGAGAAGGGGATGAGGGAAGGGGAGATAGATATTAGAACTGCTGCTGGTTTTCAATTCTAGTTATTCTAGTTATTTGAGCAAAACATCATCCAACGATCTATGTAGGCTTAGGAAAACATCATCTTCAAATCTGGTTGGAAGATCTAAGGTTCCCTTGGTAGCTTTGTGATACTAAAATCCTTGGTTTCTTCAATTAAATTAACATTTTAAGTGTGTTTAAGCTGTTAGTGCTTCTTAAAAAAGCAATCTTTTTCCCTTCCTCTCCTCCCTCCCTCCCTCTCCTGCCATCCCATCCGCCCACTCACGCTGTTCTGGGCATGCTGTGCAGTACAAGTGCTTCTGCTGTCACTCAGTAAAACAGGCTGGAGAACTGATCTGACTGAAGAATTAAACATTTTCTTTTAAAACCAGTTTTTTTTAATTTTCTGCCTGTATCAGCTCCCTGGTGGAGCCTGCCCCACGCACGCTTGTGCTGGGAGCAGAGCAGGAGCCTGGCACTGACCGTGCCAGAGCTCCCCATCCTCTTGGGGAGAGCTCATCCCAGACAGCCCTGCCAGCCCTGCACAGGACTCTGTTCCTTACCCTGCTTGCTGGTACCCTTGCAAAGGCTTTTGGATAAAAGATGCAGCTGTTTGTCCGAGGAGACAAGGAAAAAGGCACACAGAGTCATGGAATCATAGAATTGTTTAGGCTGGAAAAGCCGTCTAAGATCATCAATCCCCCTGTTCCCCCAGCACTGCCAAGGTCACCACTGCAAGTGCCACATCCTCACAGCTTTTAAACCCCTCTAGGGATGGTAATTCCACCACTGGCCAACCTGTTCCAGTGTTTTATTACCCTTTATGTGAAGAAATTGTTCCTGATATGCAATCCAAACCTCCCTGGCACATCTTGAGGCTGCTTCCCTTGTTCCCTGGGAGAAGACCTCGACCCCCACCTGGCTCCAACCTCATTTCAGGGAGTTGTAGAGTTTGAGAAAGTCCCCTCTGAGACTCCTTTTCTCCAGTCTGAGCCCCCCCATCCCTCAACCTCAGGCATGTGCTCCAGACCTTTTCCCTGCTCTGCTGCCCTTCTCTGAACACACCTCAGCCCCTCAATGTCTTCCTTGTCACGAGAGGCCCAGAAATGCACACAGGATTCGAGGTGTGGCTTCATCAGCACTGAGCTGACAATCACTGCCCTCATCCTGCTGGCCACACTGCATGGTCATAACATACAGAGCATTTGAGCTGCACGCAAAAGCAGGCTGAAGAGTTCTGTCTCCATAAGAATAATATCAGGAGGCCTTCAGTGGCACCAAATGATGGCATTGAAAAGCATTAAAAAGCCCATTTTTTTTCTTGCAAACTCTCACAGCCCTGGTACTGACTGCCACAGAGCTGCTGCTGAGCAGTACCAGGATGTTGAAAGGACAGGCATTTAATAGGGATAGTTACAAAAAATAATAAAGAATTTTGGGAAGACTGCAAGTCTGCTTAAATCTGTAAAAAAAAAACAAAAAACAAACCCAGATGATGTTTACTCGGGGCTAGGAGTCACCTCCCTTCGGTTTTCCTGCACTTGGGTTTGGTGCAAAGCTGGTGCTGCTTGAAACGGGAGTGTTTCTAAGGGTTGGAGGGAGGTGGTGCTCAAACTGCTTGTGAGAAGCTCCCTCTGCTGAGAAATCCTAAGTATGTTCGGTCACCCTGAAGGAAAAGCCTGTAAGGGAAGGTAGTGTCTCTGTTTACCTGATGTTGCTCAACTGACCAGCTTGCAGATGGGTTTTTTGAAAGGTATTTGTCGATGTGATATTTATATAGGACTTGTTTCTCAGGTTTCACAAATGTTTCATGGGAGGGAGTAGAGGTGTGTGGTGGCCTGCAGAGGAGGAGGGCAGAGGGTTTGGCACAGCAGCTGTAGCTGGGGTGGCCCTTGGGAAATTGGTTAAGAAGGGAAAATGCATTTTTAGTTACTTTAGAAACTTCCAGATAGTTCTCAGGGGAAGTGAAACACCAACCGAAGGCTTAGGCAAGGTTAGATTGGTGTGGCTATTTTAGGTGTAGGTGGACCTAATGTGGAAAGACTTGCTTGACATCCACGGTGGGGAAAGCTCTCCATGTGGACTGGTCCACGCTGTCCAGCACGCTGAGTTCTTGGGGTGACTTTAGTCTTTTTTCCTTGCCTTCCTCTGTCCTCTCCAGGCTGCAGTCACCCTGTTCACACTGGGAAGGGCTTCACCAAGAGCAGGAATAACTGGTGCTGCAGGGATCAAGGGTACCTGGGCTGTATCCCACGTGCTCCGATACCAATCGTGTCACAAGGCCCCACTCCTCTGATGATGAGCTATTGTAGGTGGCTGGTGGGACCCATCACCACCTTGGGGGGAAGCAGATACAGGGTGT